TATGGTTTAACTGTACTGTATATAAATGCGGTGGAAATGTAGGGCTGTGTTGTAGTCAGAATATCAGGGCGATTTCTTGTGGTTTTCGTCCTCTGGTGGAAATGTCTGTGAATGTTTACGAATGCTATGATAATGCAAGTTCTTATTAGAGTCAAAATGCCAGGGCAATTCCTTACATAAAACTATATTCTGATTAAAGGCAATAGATAGATAATCTTAACTTATCCAATACCAACATCAGATGAAACCACGAATCAAGGACGAAAGAAAACAACAACGAGTTAGTACGAGCGACGAAACCACTGTTGACTCCCTACCCTCTCTTTCAGACGCAAGACTAGAGGTCCCACCAGCCGGTCCACGTGTCCTGTGTTATGTACTGACTGGTCCCACGACACACAAATCATCACTGAATGTACGGAATACTTGGGGCCGACGCTGCGATGCCATGGTTTTCTTTAGGTGAGAGTGTCCATTGTTTATACAGACAGAGGGAAGTTGTAATGTTTACTCTTATGGATGAATGTCGAAATGGACTCAGTTCCTTTGCTATTTTCATCACGAATGAGATGAAAATTTGTTGTATAATATAGGATCCTCTGTTGTTAAAGAAAAAAGGTATGTCATGGTATATATAACTGAAATGATGGGGTGATGGATGAATGGATGGAAGGATGGATATATAAATACATAGACAGATTAGATCAGTGGTTCCCAACCTTTTCCATTTTGTGGCCCCGACCAATATATAATAGTCTCCCTGGTCCGTTCAGCGACTGTCATCTTTTCAGATTCAGATATTGCTAGGTATGAATCGTGTAGTATCAGTAGCTGATGGACAAGAACACCTTATGGAAAGATTTTAATTTATTGATATGCAAGAGAGTATTATATTTACGGTCTGTGGGTGAGATAAAATTCAGTTTAATTCGACGTCATAAATTTCACATTGTTCCATGGCCTCCCAGAGAGAACTCCCTGGGGGCCATTGCCTTCAGATTGGAAACCCCTGGATTGGACAGATAGATAGAGAAAGAAATAGATGGACAGAAAGATAGAGATAGATGAATAGGTAGATGAATAGAGAGATAGATAGACAGACAGGTAAATGAATGCTAGATAAACAGGTAGACAGATATTTATATAAAAAATAGATAAATGAATGGACATAAAACAAGAGACAAGAAGAGAAAGATTTGCTAAATAGATAGATAAAAGGATGAACAAGCGAAAATGGACATACAAATGAGCAATTAGTTGAAGAAACAGATGAATTAATAAGATATGATATATATATCTCTAAATATATATATATATATATATATATATATATATATATATATATATATATATATATATATATATGTATATATGTATATATATGTATATATATATATAAATTAATAGATGTATAAATTAATAAAACAACATTAATAAACTTTATAATTATTGAAACAGAAAACACTCAGAGCTAAATCATTTAAAAACAAGTTGATTAACAAATCAGGTAAAAGTAAAATAAGATTAATGAAAAAAAATGATAATGAGATCAATAACGAACATACCTCCCGCCTCCCCCCCCCCTACAGCACGAAGGAGGACGCTGAGCTGCAGCCGGAGGTCCTGAAGGTACAGGAGGGCTACGGGTTCCTGTGGGCGAAGGCGAAGGCGGCCCTGGACCACCTGCACCGCCACTACCCCGACTATGACTGGTACCTCAAGGCCGACGACGATACCTTCGTCATCGTCGAGAATCTGAGGTTTTTCCTGAAGGACCTCGAGCCGCGGGAGCCGGCCTACTATGGCGTCAAGTTCCGACAGCATGTCAAGCAGGTAGGTTTGGTGGCTGGATGTGCGTGTTTGTGCGTCTTTGTTTGGTTGTTTGTGTGTGTGTGTTTGTTTGGTTGTATGGGTGTGTTGGTGTGTATTTGTTTGGCTATCTGTTTGTTTGTGTGCGAATTTGTATTTGTTTGTGTGTCACACATATGTTTGTATGTTTGTTTAGTTGTGCGCGTAGTTTGTTTATGTTCTTTTTGAGGGGACTGTATGAGTATGTCGCTCATATGTGTTTGTTTGTGTTTGGATATTCGAGTCTCTGTGAGTCTTCGTGTGTGTGTTGTCACAGTGCTTGTATATTCATTCGTGTGTTTACTTACGCGTGTTTTCCGTATTTTTATCGGTTGGTATGTGTGCGTCGTGCATTTGTATATGCGAGTCTCTGTAAGTGCGTGTGTGTGCGTCGTCTCAGCCCCTCGGGATCTTCGCTTATTCACTCGTATGTGTGCCGAGCGAGTCCTTTGGATTCCTGTAGGATTCCCTTCTCTCCTCGACCTCCTGCCCCTCGCCCTCGCCTCGCCTTCAGCCCCTCGATCCCTCCTTCTGCAGGGCTACATGTCGGGCGGCGGCGGCTACGTCCTGAGCAGGGAGGCCGTCAGGCGGTTCGCGACGGAGGCGCTGACGATGAAGGACCAGACCAAGTGCGCCAACGAAGCCGTGAGGGGCGCCGAGGACCTCCTGCTCGGTGTGTGGGATTTGTCTATTCATTTATTTATTTATCTATCTGTTTATTCACATATTTATTTACTAATCTATCTCTATGTTTTTTAATGAATTTATTTATTTATATTCACAATTATTTTCAAGGGGCATGAGTGTTGCTTTGTCTATTTGTATGTTGTGCATTGTGAGAAGTCTATTTCCATGAGTCTCGTTAATTACATGCTTATCTGCTTAGTATCTACTCATTACTTCGTTTATAGAGCTTAGATTATCAGTTTTTCATATAAAAGCATTTAATGTGTTAGTTCCTGATGAGTCTGCCCAAATAATAACTCTCAATTACATATCAAGTTAAACAGCTGTTCTCTATCTGTTTATCTATCTAATTATCATTTAATTGACTGAATTTGATTACATCTTTCGGAATTAGACGAATGTCTCTTCGTCATCTAGTTATTTAAACACAATTTCCCGCATTGATAATCGTATTTTTTTAACAAGTAACTTATATCAAGTCACATCTATCCACCACACCTCCTCCTCATCTATCTATCTATCCTCCTCCTCCACACGCCCATTGACCGCCTCCTTCCCCCCTTCCCCCTTCCCCCCCAGGCCAGTGCCTCGAGTCCGTGGGCGTGCGGGCGGGAGACAGCCTGGACGCGGCCGGCAAACCTCGCTTCTTCTCGCACAACCCTCTGTCGTTGTTCTACAAGGCGCCGCTCGTCAACAGGCTGCACTGGTACTGGAGGTACATCTGGCACAAGCACGACGTGGTGGGTCTCGTTTTTAGTGGGATTATTATTGTTGTTGTTATTATCATTGATTTTTTTATCGTTATTATTATTGTTATTATTTTCATCATTGTTATTATTATCATTGTTATTATTATCATCATTGCTATTATCATTATTGTTATTACTGTTTTTATGATTATTATTATCATTGTTTTCTGTATTCTGTTTTGTTTTTTAATTTTTTTATTATTATTACTATTATTCTTGTATTATCACTCATTTCGATACACGCGCTGCATTAAAAAAATACTAGTATGAATAATACTGATAAAGATTATAGTTTTGTCGCTAGTCAAAATCATGATGATAATAGCAACATATATTACAACAGATAAGAACTAAAACCGGTTGACTTTTATAAGTTCAAACAGAGATCTGAGAGAGAGAGAGAGAGAGAGAGAGAGAGAGAAGAGAAGAGAGAGAGAGAGAGAGAGAGAGAGAGAGAGAGAGAGAGAGAGAGAGAGAGAGAGAGAGAGATGGATGGATGAATAAATATATAGATATAGATATATAGTTAGACTGACATATAAACATAGATAGACTGACACAGACAGAAAGACAAACAGACAGAAAGACAAACAGACAGATAAAGAAACAGACAATCAACAGAAATACATCCCCCCCAGGGCCCGGACTGCTGCAGTCCGCACCTGATCAGCTTCCACGACGTCGACGCGCGCATGATGTGGACGCTGGAGGCGCTGCTCTACCGCCTGCGGATCCACCGCGAGCTGCAGCCGCAGGAGGGCGGCGGCGCGGGCGAGGCTCCGGGGGCGGCGTGATGCAAAGGAGTCTACTCTTTCTTCTTCTTCTTCTGCGTCTCCTTGTTATTACTTTTATTATCCTCGTTATTAGTCTTGTTACTATTGTCTTTTTTATCATTGCTATTCGTTTCCTTTTTCTTCGTTTTCTTCTTTGTTTTTTTCTTTTATTTGTTTCCTCCTACTTCTTCCTCTTTATCTTCTTGTTTTTCTTGTTTTTCTTCTTTCGTTGATCTTTCTTCTCCCAATCCTTTCTTTTTAATTCCCTGCACCAAAGGAGAGCACATGTTCACCCATAACAACTCTTTTTTGCTTTATTATGCAGGATTAAGCATAAAAGTTACGGACGGACTCTGATCAGAATTTAAAGGTGGTTTGCCCATGGCCCTTGCGAACCAGATTTTTGTACAGACCTATGAAGAAATTAACGAAACTATTACCTGCATAATCTGTGACAAAAAATGGGACTTCTAAACAAACAAACAAAAAAAAACCTGTTAAATTTTTATACTATACTATATTTCTATATACTATACTATACTATATTTCTATATACTATACTATACTATATTTCTATATACTATACTATACTATATTTCTATATAATATACTATATTTCTATATACTATACTATACTATATTTCTATATACTATACTATACTATATTTCTATATACTATACTATACTATATTCTTATACGTTTTTGAGTTATCAGAGCGATGGCGAATGTTTGTGCTCTCCGAGTGGCCTTTATTCTCCTGTGGTTTGCTGGTCAGACTCATCCATCTTTCTTTTGCCTGTATTGTTAGAAAGATATTCTAAAACAGGTTTGTATTATTCATGCATATTGCATCTCCGGACCTACATGTATGTTCTAATGCATGTGTGACGTTTAATACATATTTATGTATTTATGTATAATGTTTATAAAATTGTTGTATAA